GCGGTCATCTTGCGCGCTGACTATATTCCATTCACCCCTAAGCTGAGACTGTGGTGGAACCTATGTCCTCGTTGGACCAATCATACATCTCTCTTTCGCCACGTGATCACCCCTCCCGTTCATACCCACGCGCAGAGAACTGGGTTAGGTGATGAAAGGGAGGCGGCTGATTGGTACGGTGGGGACGTCGTTTCCACTCCAGTTTTAGCTTTGGGATGAACAGAGTATAGAGCCGCATGTCTCATCGCAATGAAATTTCATGAAGTCCTAAAACGGGTACAACTGAGCGACTGGCCGAAGGGAAAAGATCAGACGGTTTGAAAGACCACGTCTTGAGGTGCAGACGGGTAAACTGAACGATCGCGAGCGTTGGAACACTGTGAAGAAAGTCAGAGGCTCATTTACTGCCCTGAAGAAACTGAAGGAACACAAACGTTGGAACACTGCTAAGAACATAAAAACCCTATATACTAAAAAAAAACCGAACGAGCACGAGCGCAAGAACGTCGTGGAAAAACCCCGGAGGCTCTTTTTCTGCACTGGAAAGAGTTGAACAGTCGAAAAAACGGGATGGGCCGACAGGCTCGGCCAACGCACCAAAATGAAGTGATTCCCTAATGTAGAGGCAACGATGTTGATGGTTCGACGATCAGGCTGCTTAGCGGCAGGAGACATCTAACAAGGGCCGGTACAGTGGCCGGGTTATGGGGTGCCCTGACGAGAGATGAGGCAGAGTTGATCCACTTTTAGCTTTCGGTTTAATGAATTATAGAGCAGAACATCAAAACAGAAGAACACGAACGGCGAAAGAGGCGAGAGTTAGGGCTCCAGCTGGCGCTTATAACAGCAGAAATAGCGTCCGTGACGACGCAGCAATCTACTAAAAGCCAATTACTACACTGCCACTGAACTGGAACCCACTACTGAATTGGAAAGTTAACGGGCTACGTACGTACAGCCGGGGGATCACAAGAATGACGGGTGCAGCTCAGAAATTCAACCAGTCCGAGATGAGGAAAACAGTACGGGCGACACAGTCACGTACCTCTGAGCATGTTAACCCAGCCGATCCTCGGTCTCAGTGTGCAATGGTTCAATACAGTCAAATATACGTCTAGTGATTTAAAATAATAAATAAGCTGCACAATGAAATACGGCAAAAAGAATATCCTTACATCATTTCTGCAAACACTTACAGTCAAGCCAAGCGTCGTTGTTGACCATTCTTGCCTGCTCGCGCTGACAAACTTTTTATACCACCAATTTACACGAATCGCAAAATAGATGGGATCTTGGCGAATCTTGAAGAATCACGAAAGCTAGAGAATAACATCTTTTATAGTCTTTTTGTAGTTTTCTAAGTTACTAATATCATTTACGACTGCCTGCACGTAAAAATGAATTCGAAAGTGGCCACCCCCGTCGTAACCGGCACAAAAGTGGTCGTTCCACAGTGGCTTGGGGTCGACACTTTTTCCAAAGGCTAGTCACTCGCTTTTTGGGGTATTCAAAGCCCCAAAACGGTATTTTGAGTGCCAAGGGTAATCATTTTTTCTTAGTGTGTGGTCAGCAAGCTCCTCGTCCTGCGACGATCCACGAGCAGCAGCCTCAGCGTTCTCGACACCCCTACTGGGGGGCTAAGCTCACCTCCGGCGGGAATCCCTCCGATGCCACGCCACGAGGGAGGGGAGGAGCTTCTTTTGACTCCGCCCCGGCGAGTTTCCCACTCCCCCTTTTACATTTCCGACCCCCCCGGCGGCGGCGAGTTCCCCAGCGTAGCTCCGATTTTTCCCTACGCTCCGCAGTGAAGGGTTTTTATTTTATTTAAATCGGGGGATCGGTGGCCGGCTGGGCTAGCGCACACCAGCTCGGAGCACGTCGAGCGGAAGGTCCGTTGCAGAACCCAGGATGCTGGGTTCAATCCCCACCCCTGCCCGTTTCGATGTTGATGAGCATCGTACCGGCGTGCAGTCGTGTAACACTACTGCGGGATGGACGTTAAAGACCCCAGGCTAGCGGTTGTACGGCACTGCATGGCTAAATTTTTCATCTACAGCTGGGAGAATCTTGCCCGTTGAGGCAGACCAAGTTTTAGGCAGTATTAACATACATACAGCAAATTTTTTTATTTAAATCGTAAATGACAAATAAGAATAGGTAACAGCAGGGATGCTAATTATACAAACATTGCTTGGATGTGGGCTAGTTGTCTAGACATTGTGTTGGTTTGCTGCGCCACGAATATGCAAGAAAAAGGCTCTTGATAAAGATATAAACTAAAGCAGAGTATAGACAAAAAAACGACATACAGGAATGGCGCAGACTAACAACTGCGTAATTTCTTTCTCATCTTTCTCCCCCCACATCGCCACACAGCCACAATATATATAGATATATATATTTTTTTTTTTTTCAGAATAGGGTGCTCGTGGAGCGAAAGCTCGCGCTGCAGAACCCAGGATCGTGGATTCATCCCCACCCCTGCCCTTTTCGATGTTAATGAGCATCGTACCGGCATGCGGTCGTGTATCACTACTACGTGATGCACGTTAAAGACCCTAGGCTAGCAGTCATACTGCACTGGCTAAATTGCTTATCTACAGTAAGTGACAATGTCGCAATGTTCTGGCATGTTCTCCTGCTGTATAAACAACTAACGACCAATTTGTTTGTAAAAATACGGTGTGGAAGAAGAAAGATGAGAAATGCATTACACTGTTGTTAGTCTGCGCCGTTCATGTATATTTCTTTTCTTCTATCATCTGTTTTACTTTGAATTTTATCAAGTGCGTTTATCTTGCATCTACGCAGCACAGCAACCCATCAAAATAATTGTAAAAGCCTGTAGGTAATGGTAAATTTCGTTCCTGGTTGCAGATTGCAGTAAAAACACATTTGTTTCTAGGATTCACTTTGGAGAATTTGAATGCAGGATTCACGACGCGGGCAACGGTTCATTCACGGCTCCATCGCCTCAAGCCCGGTTCGCCACGCAGTTCATCGCACAGCCACCTTACCACGTATTTTGAGAGGCGATAGTGTTGTTGAAAATGAACGTCGTCCATGTCCAACACATTGGCATGATTTAAATACCTATGCCGACGGCGAAGCACGAACAAAAACGCTGCCATTTTGAACGCTTCCCCTTCTTCTCGCGCCCAACTCGCCCAAACTCGCCTAGGTCGGAGCCGGCAAGCTTTTCCCATCCGCGGCGGCTTCTGCCACGTCAGAATGACGTCACCGCATCTCGCCGCGAGTTCCGAATACGCAACTCTCCGACTGCCTCAAACCCTCCGTTTAACGTCACGATCTAGGGAGTGTCGGCGCGTGTCGTCATGCACAGCGCCGACCAATCGCGGCGGTCGGCGAGTTTGGCGGAGAACTCGCCTCGATCTCGCCGCGCCGAGCTTAGCCCCCCTGGTAAGCCCTCAGTTTCATTGTTTAATATATTTATACTCTTCGCAATTTGCTTGATTTTACCGACAATTTCTCGATGAAAAACAGCACTAATGGTCACAATGTCCGTTTTTACACCACAGTAGCAATCGATACTGTACTCTTAACAAAACTAGAGTCCTCAAGCTCAAGATCACATTTAGCAAGTGAGAAAATACGTCTGTATTTTGAAGGAATATAATTACGAACTCGACCGTCGCTTTCCGGCTCCTGACTTATCCACTCGGGAAGCAAGCACGTTCAACTGGTTGGCAAGGTTAGTTGATATTAATTTTGGCCGCGCTTGAACTCTGGGGTTTCAACCAGTACACCACACTCCTCAATATTCACAGGTCTATACAGCTCAAACTTTCAGAACATAGTAGCGCTCCTATACTCCGTTTTATACACAACCAGCAACGCTGTCAAAGCTAGCGTTCCGGTTTACGCTGCCCACGTTTCGTCTCCGTCTCAGCTTAGCATGGACTATTGTTGACTACAGACGCTAAAAGCGCGAGCTGATAGACCGATTTCACTAAGAGTTGGGCGGATGCGTAAATCCTCCATAACTTTAGTTCACAGGGGGCAACTTTGCTCGAAGTATTCGTGGCCACCTTTCAAGCGACGGAGACCTGGTGCAGCTTTTGGAAAAGAGAAGAGATGACGTGCCTGCGCTAAGAATCTGGCTCGACAAGCAGGACGGATGGCTTAGTGGCGACGTGCAAAACTAAATGCTCGAAATAATGGCGCACAATGTGCAGCGAATGCTTATCGACTAAATCACCCAATCACCGTCATGGCAGACTCAACAACTGACACGTCGGGTCAAGAACAGTTTTCCGTGTGCGTAAGAAGGTATGTTTCTTGCGTGACACCAAAGCTGCAACATTATTTTCCACGATCAAAGACGTCCTGATCAGTCTATCGCTTAGCTTCCACAACCTCCGGGGACATTGTTTTTTTGAGGCTGCCAGCATGTCTGGAAAGTTTTGAAGGACAAGCGAATTCATACTTTTAGTTAGAATAGAAATATCACAGTATCTTGGTCTCTATAAATTGCAACTGCAATTAAAACAAAATTCCATCCCTCATAATTATAACCTCCATGATACCACCACAGGCGTACACTCTCGGAGAAGCATCATTATGATAAATAATTATGCAGCGAAAAGTAACATCAAACGTTTCACGGAGTTTCATCATAGCCCTCTGCTTGCCTAACCTTAACTTCAGCATTGAATTTTTATTGAATGCCGGCTTTACCTAAATTAGTTACATATATCCATCTCTATGCAAATTAGATTTTAAATCTTGAGGGAAATTTTGTTTTGAATCCTCGTTTAATATAACTAGTTTTTTTTTTTTCTCAATTTTTTTTTTTTTTTTTTTTTATTTCCGTTAGTCGATTAGGCATATATGTTTCGTTATGTGTTTCTGGCTAAGGGGAGGAGTTTGGTAAAACTGTATTTATATGTTTTTTTTAATCCTTTTCTACTCTACATGAGGGACAAAAACACCTAAACTTGAGGTTCACCACGCTTCACCACGCACAACAGGATCAACCCTCAGGTCGTACCGCAATCACCGTCACCATGGCCACTGAACTGGTAACCTGGAGCACTAATCACATCGTAGAGGTCGTTCCTGTGGTGCTTCATGATTGGCATCTGCTTCCTCACCTTTGACAGGTGATCCAAGTCCACTTCGCTCATCAGCACTTCCTCCTCGGTTCCCGCCGACTGGACCACCTTCCCCACAGGATCGACCAGCATGCTGTGTCCCCACGGGACGTACGGCGTACGTTCGCTTCTAGCAGGTGACGCCAACGCCACGTATACCTGACCATCCACCGCCCTGGACCTCTGGAGTAACTCTGCGTAGAGGGGACCGGATATCACATTGAACGCGGAAGGGAACACGAGGAGCTTGCAACCGAGTTGCACGTAGATGTGCGTCAAGGGAGCGAAGCGGATGTCGTAGCACAAGCTAACGCCGACTTTGCAGAACGGAGTGTCGAAGGTGGTCAGCTTGTTCCCTGGCGACACTAGGCTTGCCTCACGGACAGTCATCACTCCAGGAATGTTGATGTCGACTAGATGCAGCTTCCGGTGCTTGGCGACCATACTGCCGTCGGGGCCATAGACAAGACAGGTGTTGTATCTTCGACCCTTACTGTCGATTTCGGTCATGGAACCGCCTATAAGGTACACGCCGTTCTCCCTCGCGCACTGGGAGAGCATCTCGCTCGTCTCACCAGGAATAGTCTCAGCGGACGCCTTAAAGCCTCGCCCGCCGATGGGGTAACCGAAGGAAGCTGGAAGACATACTATGTGGGATCCGCTGGTTGCAGCCTTCTTGATTTTAAGACTCGTGGCTAGGAGGTTTTCCGACTTGTTTAGTGTTGGAGCAAGTTGTAGAAGGGCCAGGCGAAATGTATTTGTTGCCATGATGTTTTCGAGTGGAGTCCGGGAGAGTGACCCTCTTTTCAAGCCTCCTGAATGCACTAACAACGAAACGAACGGCGCACGAAGCATATCCCTTGGAAACACAGGTGTTCGTCGAGAAGACAGCTTTTTGTTCTTTTTTTTTTGCAAATAAAAAAAAATGAAAGACGTTTACAATTCTCTATAATGCCGTAATGGAACGCAGCTCTTTAGGAGGAAAGGGGATTGTATGAAGGAAAAGGGTATGCCCGTCCTTCCTCCTCTTCCCCTCCGTACCCTCCCCTCCTCCTCTCCGGCTCTCTTCACATTTATCGGGAAATGTTCGCTAAATTTCTCGCTAAATTGAGCGGCAAATTTACCCATATGTTTCCGTTTAATTTAGCGAAACATTTAGCGAACATTTCCCCGCTAAATTTGGCCGGAAACTGCATTGTTGTTGAGGTCCTCCACGTCATGTCAATTTCCCCGATAAACTTATATCATTTAGCGGAAAAGGTTTTGCGCTAAATTTCGCGTGACGTCTCATTCAATCACGTGACCTCACACGTGACGGCGCTTGACCCGCGAAAATTTCCCCGATAAATTTTGCAGTAAAATAAAATTATCGGAAACATTTCCACACATATTTAGCGGGAAAATTTAACTCTCGCGACGTCACATGTGATGTCATAATGGGAAACGCCGTCTTATAACTCAACGCGCGGTTACGCCGAAGGCGACAACAACGCCGCTAAACATGGAAACGGGCGCCTAAGAGCTGCGCTTTAAAATGAAAGATGTTTACGAATCTCAGTGATGCGAAAATAAAGCCTAGCTCCTGACTAGTAGGAGGGGAGGGCACAAAGGGGACGTTATGCCTTCTCCTCCTCCCTCCCTCATCTTCCTCCTCTTCTGCTCTCCTCTTGCCGCTGAAGTTGTTCATGGGTGACGTGACACCAAGTCGTGACGTCCTTTTCCCCGCTAAATTCAGCGGGGAAACTGAATTGGTGTTGAGGTAGCATAAGTACAATTTCCCCGCTAAAGTTAGCGCGGAAACCTAACCCACTGAAATTAGAGAGGAATTTTTCCCGCTGGAGGTCGGGGGAAGTTCTCCCACTAAATTTAGCTACAGAATTTTTCCACTAAATTTAGCGTAAAAATATCTCCGCTAAGTTTAGGGGGAAAATTTCTTTGCTAGGAAACGTCCCTTAATGCAACGAGCGCGGTTAGGCCGACGCCGACGCCACTTAACCCGGAAAAGGGTGCCTAAGACCGGCGCGCTAAAAGATATAAAGTAGTGTTTACGTCGCATATAATTTAGTGCTCTTATTGGCTAGAATACCTCGAAGTGTACTACTGCAGCCAATATAAGTTGGAATGCCACGCATGTGCGGAGCGCGCGTGGCATTCTCTCCTGCTGCCTTGTTGCACTTGTTGCACTCTGCGAGAAGATAGGCCAGACAATGGTAGAGATTCTTTGATAGAAGTGACGCTGGCTGTGCGACGCCAGTTTCGAAGAATAAAACGAAAGGTTATGACTTCGAAATCGGCTCATGAGCAGATGATGGAGCAAAGATGGAGGCTGCATGTTCAAGTTCAGTACGAATGAGAGTTTTATACAAAATTAGATTTAAAGAAACAGGAGTGAGCAAAAAATATTTCGATATATTGTAGTAACCGATTAGCGTTGTTAGTGAGATATTCAGCATGAGCATTCCAGAAAGCGGCACTGATAATATGAACACCGTAGTATTTATAGAAGGTAACAGAAAAAAGGGTGGAATGATTATTGTAGTAGGGGAGACATGCGTTATTTTTACAAGGCAATCTCATAGACATACATTTAGAAATGCTAAGTTCCATAAGCGATGTTTTGCACTAGTGGGTTACCTTACTGGTATCGGTTTGAGGGGCAGAAATGTCCGACTCGTTATTAATTTTTTATAACTAACACTGTCATCAGCATACAAGCTAAAAGAAGAAATACACATTGCTAAGTCGTTAATATATATGAGAAATGATACTGGACCCAAAACAGAGGCTTTTAGGACAATGGAGTTAACACGAGAGGATGAAAAGCTGGTTCCGTTGACGTGAAAATATTGACAGAGGTTTGTTAGAAACTATTCTATCCCTACATTAATGTCTATGTTTTGGTGATTGAGGCTATATAAAATAATTCACTGAGGAACCTTTCCGAAAGCTTTTGAGAAGTCAGGGAACATGCAGTCAGTTCTGGAACCCTGAATGAGAGGGACGTGAAGGTCATTAGTAAATGCTACAGGTTGAATTTTGGAAAAATAGAACCTTCGGAGGGCAATGTGGGGCTGAATTAAACCAAGAATATTAGTCCAAAAAGTTAGCAAGATTAGAATAAATTGCGTGCTCAAGAATTCTGCATCGTATGCTCCTTAAAGGGATGGGATGAAAATTAGAAGGATTATGTTTATCGCCAGCTGTGTGCAGAGGAATCACCTTCCTCATCTTCTAGTCTCTTAGTAGTACATTTTGTTCTAGTGATTGGAAGAATATTTAAGAAAGTATAATGTTGTAATACCCCTTAATATTTTAAAAACATTGGCACTAATATTTTCTGTATCTGCTGTACCAGATGTTTCCATGTTTTCAATATTGTTGGCTCTACCTTCACTGTATACAATAACATGATGCATTTGGAGAAATTCACCGACTGGAAGCATTGGACATGAAGATGTAATGAGCGTTGAAAAATATTTAATGAAAATATGATTGAGTACAAAATGGCACCGATTACCCGGTGCAAAAAACTCCGTCAATGTATTGAGCGTTATATCCTAACTTGCAGTAAAATTCATAATTTTCCAAATTTGAAGGAGAATATTGATCAGCATGGATGACGACGTGAAGTTAACAAAAGTGACTTTCCCATCTTGAATTGCATTTTTATGCGCCACAGCAGCAAGACAATACGCTGCCCAGTGCTGTCCATCGTTCGGGAGCTTTGCAGAACGAAATATTCGTTCCTTTTTATTTGCCAATCTCCTTAAAGGCCGCTGTACAAACGGGACGTCCTGCAGGGAAGAACCTTCTCTCCCGAAGCTGGAGACGGGGAGGGAAAGGGCCAGCGTTGGGTGGAAAGGGCATCTAGAGAATGGGATCAGCCTCGGGGCGAGCCATCCTCTCGAGAGGGAGTGGTGACGGAATAAAGCTGCCGTGGGGGTTCCGGCTACCAGGCGGAAGAAAGATAAGCTTGTCAAACGGCGACCTCGGATGCGAGGACGGGCACGTCAGAGAATTTGAAAATAGCTGCTTGATTAGCCGGACGACCCAGTGCGGTCTACTGGCTCTAGAAGGTGACTCAGATGAAGAAAACTCGTTTTTCTCCAAAACTCTAAAAGCATCCTGGAACGTGAACTCTTGCCACAAATAAAAATAACACATACATGAAAAACTACGAAGGCATCTAAGCTTTCCCCTATGATGTGAGAATGCGTGAGCATTACAGTCAGACTTATGTTGGCGCAACTTGCAATAAAGAAAGAAAAAAAAAAGTTATGTTGGCGCGACTAGGTGCAACGAATAGCGCGCTAGTTTCACGATCAAGAGGGCCTAGTTTTGAAACCGGGCAGGGGATGGTTTTTTTCTCGTGTTATTTTTACTTCGTGTATTTTTTTTTTTGTTCGGTCACGTAACAATAAAAGTCTCATGAACAGAATTTTTTTTTGGCCACGTCACCAGAGATTTTTTTTTCTTACTTGTCCTTTTCTTCTGTCTTTTTTTTTCCCTTTTTTTTCGTTTACGCTTCCTTTAGCAAAACCCTTTGCACCTATTTCGCGTTACTTTGGCGTTAGCCAAATCATTTTATTTATGGCAGGGAATTCTGCCGTGCGTATCTTATGTTACTATTACCAATCCTGGCATGCAATACGCATAGAGAATTTCGTCCGGCCACCAGTTTGGGAATGACGAGGCCAAATTTGTGTTACAATTTTTTTGAGGTATAAGCATAATTTCGGCCTCGTTATCCGTCGGTCTCTATGATAGGCTCTTCAAGTATCTCTTGGGAAGGCAGACGACTGGCATTTTTAGAGTGCACGTGTGTCGACCAGAGTGAACATTGCTGAAGCGCCTCCAGTGTGATTTTGGCCGTAAATAACTGGAGGCCCCGGGCAAACCCACCCAATGTAGAAAAGTATCTACCTTTCTGGTTTCATAGAGAGCTATAAAAGGGACGAATCACAGCCGAGTCAAACTACCGGCTTGCAAACGCAATCGTGTTGACAATAGCTCCAAGGAGTTTGTATGACTCTCTCTAACGGTGTGCAGAGGGTAAAGGCACGGAGGTAATATATGCTTTCGCCTAGTCACCTCGCAAACGGTTGGGTATTGGCTGCAGAAATCCATTTTGCTTTGGTTTATAACCGGGATTATAGCTTGATTTCTGTGTTCCTAATTTCACAGACAGAACGAAATCGCTTTTCTCGTTTGGCGTCACGGCGGTGAGACAGAAATCAATCAGTCTACCGGAATTCGACGCTTGTGCTCGTTCTGCTTCAAAAAACCGTGCGATCACGCCTGTGCAACGTCCACAATGCATAAACTGCAGTTACTTGTACTCGTATTGCATCGCGAGGGAACGACTATGACTGGGTAAACAGGAATAGGGAGAATGGGTGCGTGTGATTTGTTGAAGTTCGAATCAACAAATCAAGCTTCAACGAATGTGATAGTATTGCATTCACTCAACCAGCTATATGAGTTTTTCAGATGGTATATACCTTCCAAGTATGCGATTCGTGTTCTTCCAGTGATACCTGAGCTAAATTAAAAAGCAAAATCCACGTTGAAAAAAAAAAAAAAAAGAAAAAGTTTACGCTGATTCGAGCCGCTCCCGCGCCGAATCATATTTCACGTAAGCGTAATCTTGGGGTCGATGCACGACGAGGGGTCCTCAATCATAAAAATAGTTTGATTACGATTATTGGCAACGCTAAAAATTTGAAAGCCAAGCAGTGAAAACAACGGTGTTCTTATAAATATTATAT